CCCCCTCTGCTGAAAATATCCTATTGTCTGGGCTGCTGGGTCCTCAGCCAGTCTAATAGCTACTCCCAGAACTCCTTTTCCTTCTCTTAGTATCAATCTTTGAATCCAAGATTTTTCTATCTGAAAGGACTTCAGAAGTCATTGAGTCCAGTTCACTTATTTGATAAATAAGAAAAAGAGAGCACACAGGTCATGGCAGACCCTAGTCTCTTGACTTCCAGTCTCAGGCTCTGCATTGGTTGGAAAAGATGGGGCTATACTATCCGATAAAGTAGTTCCTAAGCCATATGTGGCTATTGAAATTTAAATTAATTAAGTTAAACAGAATTAAACGTTGAGTTCCTTGTTCACCCGAGCCATATTTTAAGTGCTCAATATCCATATGCAGCTGATGGCTACCACATTGGACATCACAGATATAGACCATTTCTATCATTGTAGAAAGTTCTATTGGACTGTGCTGGTACTTAAGCTTGATATAAGAATCAGAGGAAAGCATGATGAGTAGAGAATTTAAATAGCTATGGTTCAGTTTGTCCAGAGCCTAGCATGGAATTGGATCATAATCCTCCTTAGTAGCCCCTGCTCCCTTCCTGAATTCTGGCCACAGCCTCTTCATAGACTTGGACTGGTACTATTTCCTTTCAACCACTCATTTCACCGATAGTCATGGCACACCTGCTATGAATCAGGTACCAAGCTCAGTGCTGAGCATGCAGCAGAAAATAGGATATTGTCCTGGGGGAGATGGATGCTTACACCATTAAGATACATTGAGGTTAGGCCTTTGAGGACATGATATCTAACCTAAGACCTGAAAAATGAGTAGGAGTTAGCCAGGTGAAGGTGGTAGTGGGGAGATGGGAAGGTAAAAGGAAAAGTGCTCCAGAGAGAGGGTTTACATGTTCAAACCAACAGAGAGCATGCTCTGGTGGCACATATAGGACTATAGAAGAGAGATGAGGCTGACGCAGTGGGTGAAGGCCTACTCATGAAGGGATTTGTGAGCCAGGGGCAGTGGGAGGCATGGAAGGGTATAGGGGTATCAGAGGTACATCTTTGGCTTCCTATAGATACCAAGCATTACCAGGGCCATTTAGACCTAGAGATGGGTGACTGGCTGGAGGAGGCCAGTCTGTGCCCCACTTGGCTATTGTGTAGGAAAAAACAAAGAGTCATCTGTGATCATCAAAATCATAGCTGCACATTCGACATACATGATCTAATTTAATCCTCATCACCATTCTATGAGGGAGGCTCATTTTTTTTCCTATTTTTTTGTTCTTTGTTTTTTTTTTTAATTCTTCTTTTAAAAATGAAAAAACTGAAGTTCAGAGACATTAAGTGGCATCCCCAAGGGATGGTGAAACCATAGTTCAAACCCATGCTTGGCCAACAGAGCCTAAAGTCTGAGTTCTTGATGACTTCACTCTCCATTCCCATCTTGCTCTTTAGATACTCCTCCATTCCGTATACACCACACATTCTGGTCCTAGTATATTATTCACTGTTTCCTGAGCTTGCCTTTTCATGCCAGTGTGCTTTTCACATGCGGTTCCTTCTACCAGGCTTACTCTAATCCTGTCTCTGGTAAAGTCCAACTTGCCCTCTAGACTCAGCCATACAATCCCCTCCATGAGTAGGCTGCCTTGAGTTTCTCAGACTAGGTTATACTCTCCCCTTTTCTCCCTCCACTGTCTAGGATACCACCCACCAAGATGGGTTATCTATCCTAAATTGGTTCTCACACCCTTGAGGGTACCAGCTCGTGTGCCCAGGGGGACCCAAGGCCACAGAATACCCGGAGCATCCATTCTGCTGTATGACCTTGTGGATAAAGCTAGATGACTCTAAGTATACTTCAAACACCTTTTTATTTTTTTCTAAATTAAAGCAAACATGGACACTGTGTGAGAAGAATGTAAAATGTGCATGAATTTTTAAGATAAAATATAGGGACTTCAAAGACATTTTTCAGTCTGGCTGCTTTCGGCTGTGCCCCCAGATTTCCCTGGGGGAAGCAGTCGCTTGTCTTTGCTGACAGGCGACTTACTGGAAAAGTCTGCAAAGCTCTGGACTACAGAAGGTAATGATTTATTTATATTTCTGTCTCTTGCACCAAGGCGGGAGCTCCCAAGGGCAGAGACAAGATCTGATTCATCTGAGTCTCCAGTGGCCCAGCAGAGAGCTGAGCACACGGAAGATGCCCTTTGAATAGTAATAATGATAATAATAGTAACAGTAATAGCTAACACCTGTAGCACTTATGATGTGACAGGTACTTTTCTAAGAGGTTGATATATTAATTTAGTTAGCCCTCACAACACTGCTATGATGTGGATATTATTATCCCCATTTTACAATTGTGGAAACAAGCACAGGGAGGTTAAGAGTTTTGCCCAAAGTCACACAGCTAGTAAGTTAACATGTTACATTGCCCCTTTGCTGAATGTTTATTGAATGAATGAATGAATGAATGAATGAGTCAGTGAACTTGCCTAAGATAATATTTAAGTCTGTTTAATAACAAAAGAATATGCTCAGGCTCCAATATTAAGTGAACAAATCAGTAATGAAATAGTACATGTAATTTGACTGCAATTCTTGATGCATAAGGGAAAGACTGTCAAGAACTATATGTACATCCACATTCCCATGGGCAGTATTCTGGGTGATTTCTTATTTCTCTATCCTTGAAATTTTCTACAGCAATGTTATATTACTTTTACAATTAAATAAACTATATCCTTTTTATGAATTAGAAAATAAACAAATCTTTATTAGGAAAAAAGGAAGGCTATGGACAGACATATAAATCTCTCTGAAATCCTTCCACTTTTATTTATTTATTTTTTTGTTTTATCTTTTTACTTTCAAGCTCTCTTGGGTACTTTTTTTTAGTTGGGTCTCTATTCAGAATGTAGTACAGTTTACTTTTTAAAATTCTATCAGGGAATCTTTTAGTAGGCGAGCTTATCCAATTTATGTTTGGTTTTAGTTCTGTCATTTAATTTTATTTGCATTTAAAAATAATTTGATATGTGATTTAGGTTTTCTTTACTTTGTATATTTTTATTCTGAAAACTTAGTTACTCTTCTATATTTAGAAGTTACTCTTATTTTTAATCTACCATTTATTGAGCACTTACTATGGGCCAGATGCTAATTTTTACATTGTTATTTAATTTTAACCTCCCAATAACCCTATAAAGAAGGTACTGTTGTTATCCATTATTCTACCCACTTGCAGGGATGAAATGGAGGCTTAGAAAGGCTAAATCACTTTAGGTCACATAGTTAGTGAGTGGTGGAGCTAGGATCACTCCAAGATCTAATGCCAAAGCTTTTAACTTAACTGTTGTGCTATGGGCCCTTCTCTCTTTCCCCCAAACTTGAGGCTTGGGTTGTTCCCAGGGAATGGGACTAGGGTAATTTGTTGACACCATCTCCACCCAGAATAAGGCATAATGTAACCTCTTTATACCAGAGCCTGGCCAACACAAACTTTTAGCCTCTCTTAAAGCCCAAGTCCACCCAAGAGTGGTCCTGATTATTTTTGGGAAGTCAGTCCCTGTCTGGGTCCCCTCATTCTCCCCAACCCCCACTAGGTTCCCTTACCTGGCCACCTGGTTGATGACAGGAGCAAAGTAGGTGGGCCCGTAGAGCTGTACTGTGCGCAAGCTCTGGAAGTAGCTCTCCAGCACGCCCTCAATGCCCGCACAGTTGGGGTCCTCATCATTGTTGTTCTGTCAGGGAAGATGCCCTGCTGGGCTGAGCCCATGTGGAGTATACCCAAGAGTGCTCTGGTCCCAGCTCACTCCTTCCTTTTCCCATCACCCTTTCATGCTCCCCTCTAAACTCCAGCCCTGCTCCCCTCCCTGCTCTTCTACCCTATCATAGCTTCCTGCTCCTTACAGGTCCGTGACCCTTAGGAGAAATGTAAATAGAAGAAATTTGTCAACTTGGGTAGGCCAGAAGCCAGGACATGGAGTATAGGCTCTGGCCCATATCGTACCAGGGGAAATTGATGGGAGATCCGTCCCTCTGGGGGCAGCTTGGCCCCAAAGCCGTAGGCTGGAAAGAGTTTGTCACTGTCATAGTCCTGGATGATTTCTCCCACTGCCTTCAGGGCCATGGCATAGGCGCTGAGCTGGTAGGGACTCATGTAGTGCAGGGAGGTGGGCTGCAGGGGATTCCCTGTAGGGACACAGGAGCCCAGCCTCATGGCCACCTTGCTCATCCACATATTCACTTGCCTATCCTTGTATGCATCTATCTACCTGTCTATTCATCTACTCTTTACCTATATACTCCCTTATTATTTTACCCATCATTCATAAATTCATCTATCTATCTACTCATCAATCCATATATTTATCCATCTACCCATATAGCCATTTACCCATCCGCTGGCATAAATCCATTTTTCAATCTACCTATCCATCTCTATCCATTTGCCTTCCTGTTCTCTTATCCAACTGTCCACCCACCTTCCCATCCATCCATCCACCCACTTGTCCACCTGCCATTTCTCTTCCTTTCTCATCTTTCTATACAGCCATATTCTTTTACCTACCCATCCATCCATCCCTATCCATTCCATTCATTCACTTGTCTGTCTATCCTCATATGGATCCTTCCACCTGTCCACTCATTCATTCCCCATTTACTTACCTGTTGTTCTCCAGTTTAAACATCTGTCCATTCACATACCCATCCACATACTACTGTACTCACTCACCAACTCATCTACCCTCTCTGTTCACCTGTCTACCCACCCAGTCATTACTTACCACCCATTCATCTATCTGTCTCTCCTTCTACCCCTATTCTCTCCATCCATTTATTTACTCATCCACTTCTTGAGCTATCTACCCTTTCAACTTTTTTGACCCATTTACCCACCTATTTTCCTATACCCTCTGCCCACCCTTATACCCAATAATCTTCCCCCCAACACTCCTGCCCCAGTACGAGCCTGGCTGGGCTTTTCTTCAAGCCTCGACTTCCTGGGTAGTTGAACTCTTATCCCTAGTTTGAAATCCAGGCCAATCCTTAAGGACTTCCTTAGAATTCCTCCATATCCCATTCCCCCATCCATGCCTCACCATTTGAAGCTGTGAAGTCAATGGCTACTGTGAAGTTCAGCTGTGTCCTGTCAGGGAAGTAGATGGATTGAGAAGTGAGGGACTAGTACTCATACCAGAATTTCCCAAACACAAATGTGCATATGAATCAGCTGGGAATTGTGTTAAAATGTAGATTCTGATCTGGATGGTCTGGGTGGAACCCAAGATTCTGCATTTCAAACAAACTCCCAAGTGATGCAGATGCTTCTAGCCCGTGGAGCACGCTTTGGGTAGCAGAATTAAATACCTACTGTGTGACAAGTGTATTAGGTGTAGTTTAACTTAACCCTTACTATAGCCCTGAAGTAATAATTAACATCTCCATTGTACATAGGAGAAAAGTGAGGATCGGAGAAGCAAAGTACATTTTCCAGGTTTGCCTGCCTCCACTGAACCAGGCTTTTTTTTTCTCTCTCTCAGCCTCTTCCTCTTGCCTGTCCATAACTTTTGTCTGGGTTCCAGTCAGATTACTGGGGCATTCTTTGACGATGTCAGATTACTGGCATCCTCCCAGCAGGGACTAGAAACTAGAGATGAAGCCCCAGGAAGAGAACTAAAATGACCAACATTATGCATTTTACAGAGCACTTTATAGTTTGCCAAATATTTTAAAGTTTATATCCATGATCTCGTTGGACCCTGACCATTCATAAATAAGAAAACTGAGGCTCAGAACTGGGAGGAACTCATTATTTTAGCCCAGAGTTTGGCTTTTGACTCACCCTCCCTTGATGTAATCGACAAAAGTGAATTCAGAGTCCACAGAGAAGGAGAGCAGCGTCACCTGTGGGACAGAAGAGGCAGCCCTGCTACTTTGGAAAAGGCAATTGGGGTGGCAGAGGGAGAGAGGCATGATGCACCCGACACTGTCCAGTTTCAGAAAGGACAAAAAGGGGAAGCTGATGGAAACATATTTGGATTTCCAAAAGTATATTAAATTGAGAAATACAAGTTAGGTTTAAAAACATTCTGCAAAAGAGTAAAGATCAAAAAATTTCCACAGGTGAGAAAAAAAGAAAAACTTAAATGGTGCCACCTTATGCCAAACATAACTAATCCAAGAAATCTGTGCCCACAGACTTCCTGTATCCCCAACATTTGTCATGCTATGTCAATGGGAATAGAAACAGAAGGATCCAGGGAGGGCCAGAGCTCCAGGAAACACTCACAGTTCCCGAATTGACATATTTCTTCTTCTTACATTTCTTCCGAGGGTTAAGTACCTAAGTGAAGAAGAGAACGGTGATGGTGTGAAACAGAGGAAGAGAAGTACAGACTGAGTACAGTGGGTTGGAGAGAGGACCTGGGTAACCTGAGCAGGGCTGGAGTTCTCACCTCATACACTGTGAACTGGTTCTGGGCCTTGCTCAGCTCCCGGTAGCTGGTGGTAAACTCACCGATGAAGTCATGGCTGCAATGAGGCCAGTTGTGGGTGAGCAGCAGCAGCTGCTGGCCTGGAGCCAGCCCTAAAACCAGCCTTTTATTCTCACTATCCTCTGCCTCTACTTGAGCTGCGGGGGCATTGGGACAGAGGCCAAAAGAGGGGCCAAGCTAAAGCGAAGAGAAGGGAAGAGACAGTGTGCCAGAGAGACAACTGAGAGGATCAGTTGTATCTAAGATCCTGGCATCTATCATCACCCTTTCTGGCTCCCAAAGCCACTTTGGGGTTCCTAGTGAATGTACTACCTATTATAGGTAACTGTTTGGATTAAGTACAGGAGAAAGCAGTACCATGGGGGGCAGTTCTACCTTCCATCCCGGTCCCAGTCGTACACATCAATCTTCACTGTTCTGAAATGCAGAAGATAAACATAGGCTGAGTGTGTATGATAAATCCTAGAGACACTCCCACCCATAATCATACACAGATCATCCTCCCATCCACCCATTAGTCCTTTCATCAACCTTCCTCCCATTTGTCGATCTATTCATTCATCAATCCATGCACATACCCAACCGTCTACTGCTGCTGCCACCAATACAACTACAACTGCTATTTGTACCACTATTGCTATTCTTTACCACTCATTGAGTCTTTTTTTTTTTTTTAAATAAAAACAATCCTATAGCATTTATTTTCATCTGGTAATAACACAAGAGTAATCAAAGCAATATGAATAAATGTTTAAGAACTATACTCTTAACAAAGGACACCTACAAAACATTAACTATTGCTTTCTCATTAATTTCTCACTTTATTAATTCTTTCTAATTGGAGACACTTTGGAGCAGAGTAATATTATCTCCTCATAGTATGATGCAATCCAGCTGTTTTCTTGACTTTGTTTTAGAATGAATCTCTTATGCATCATCTAATCAAAACCAATGATACAGCCCTCTATCTGCATATTCACTTGCTCATAAAGCCACACCTGAATCCGAGATCTATTTTGGAAGTATCTGAAGATCAAGTTGATGGGCTGCACCATCACCTTCTTCACTTTTTGGCCCTGGCCACAGTAAGCCATGGTGGAAGCTCTATTGGGTCTCAATATATATATTCCAAGCACTGTTCTCAGCACTTTCATAGATCATCTCATTTAATTTAACAACCACCTGATAAAGTAAGTACTATTATTCTTATTTTTGGATAAGGAAACTGAGGTACAAAAAATAGTAACTTGACGAAGGACCATAACTTGTAAGTGACTGAGTTTAGATTTAAACTCAGACATCCTGGTTCCAAAGATCTTGTTCTGAACTAACTATGCCTAAATCATCCCCATATGGCCATCTATGTATGTGGCAGTCCATTCAACCATTTCTCTATCTAGCCACTCATTCACCTATATATTTGCCAGTTCAATTACCTGTCAGTCCCTATCTTTGTCCATCCATCTAACTATACATCTAGCCATTCACTGACTCACTGATGCATACAAACATCCATCTGTCTTTCCATTTATCTATTCACCAAACACCCAACCATCTGATACCTGTCCATCTAATATTCCATCAATCTATATAACCATCCATTTATGTGCCCACCCACCTACTCCATACTGCCCATTTCTTAGTTCATATGGCCAGCCTATCCATCTTCTTTATACTCATCCATCAACTAATCTACCCTTCCATCTACCATCTATTCATCTGTCCATCCATCTACCTGTAACTCCACTTATTTATCCTCCTGTTTTTCCAATCATGCCTCTGCCTCTTCATACATCAATCTTTCATATACCCATTTATCCATTCATCCATTTACTCATCCATCCATATTAATCTATCTATTATCTGTCCATCCACTAATCCACCTATCAACTCACCCACCAATCCTCTTATACACCCATCCATATACTCATCCATCCAGTCACCAGCTCATCCATCCATTCATCTATGTATCTGCTCATTTATTTTTTCATTTGCCCTTTCATCTACCCATCCATCCATCCATCCATCCATCCATCCATCCATCCATCCATCCATCCACCACCCACCCCACCCATCCGCCTATCCATCCATGTGGCTATCCATCTACTTCCCATTGCACCCTTCTCCATGACTGAAACTCTGTCTCACTGAGCAGCATCTTCCAACATTATTAGGATACTTCTGCCATCATTTTGGGGCCCAAGAACCCCACTCTTAGGCCTTGGTTCCCTTACTCCTTAGCTTATGCTAAAGCAGACCTGTCATAGTCTCCATTGCACAGTGCCCGCACAGGGATGCTGAAGGGCTGCCACACAGGGTTCAATGTGTTTTTCACAACCTCTGTCTTGTGGCAGATGGTGAACCTGGAGAGGAGCAAGAGGATTAATACCAAACTTTGGGGTAGGACTGAGCCCAGAGACAGGGCCTGATACTCTTGGAGATTCCTCAAATTCTCCCACTTCTTAAACACATATTACGTGCTGCTTTGAGTGAATTCTGGACTCAGGTCCTGGTGAAGTCTAAGATGCCCCATGCCCAGGCTCTGCCTAAGAGCCCTACTGGGCTCAAGGTCACAGTGGGGCAGCGGGGTGCCATAGGAGTGGATAGTGACTCACGTGCCATCTTCATTGCTCCTATAGAACACAAGGAAGGGGTCTGATTTCCCAAAGAAGTCCTTCTTGTCCAGCTTGTTTGCACACAGCTGCATGGTAGCAATGTCCTAGGGATAAAGTTGGGTGTCGACACTCAAATTTTCTATAGCCTCAGATAGCCCACTAAAGGGAATTTGGGGAGAGAAGGGAGCCTCCTGGGTCTAGCATGTGGCCCTTACTAACCCGACAATTGCTAAGCTCCTCTGCGGTCAGCAATATGGTCCCACACTTCTTGCCTGGTACACCCCTGGAAGCAGAAAAAGCCTCTTTGTGAGGAGGGGAGAGTAGGCAACAAGGATTGGGGTGGCCAGTCTGGGATTAGGTGGGCCAAGGGATTCAATTTGCCATTTCCTGACAGTCTCCTGAGTATGTCCCCTTCTGTCCTGGGTGGCTCCTAGTGGGGAAGGATATAACTTTGACTGGAGAGGGGTCTACAGTCTGGAAGGATGGAGTTAATGTAGCCTAGGTAGACATCTCATAATGGTAGCATGGGAAAGACATAGGCTTGAGAGTCCTGGGGAAGTTATGTCCCCTTTCTTTGGGCTCTAGTTTTCTCTTCTCTGAAATGGAAATCATGCCCATGTCTCAGGGCTGTGAAGATGTGAAGATATCTAAATGAGTGCAGGTAAGGAATAGCATTATAGATATGAAGGTGTTTATGTCTCTCAAAGCAGATCCTGTTATCTACTATATGCCAGGCACTGTGCTAGGTATGAATCGGCTAGTTAGTACTCTCCAACTTTGCTAGACTCTGCCCTCAGGGAGCTTCCAGGGGAAGGTGAGATGTCAAAGCCAATAGGCAAGTAGAGTGTGATATAACAGTACTGAATGAGGGAGAGGAATTTCTATCCAGGCCTGGGGCAAAGGTCAAAGATGCTGTGCTTTCTGAAGGTTGAAGAGTAAAATAAAAAAGACAAAAGAAGACTTAACCTCTCCTGACCCATGTGCAGGAAGGGTGCAGACCAGGACACCCATCCCCAACTTGCCTTGGGTCTCCAAGCAGTCAAGCAACAAGGGACCTTGCTGATATGAGCCTGTGAACACTGATCCCCCAAGGGTTTCAAAGTGTGGCAGAAAGAAAGCTAGATCAGGAGTGTCCTGGCTTCGAGCCCTGCCTCCAACTTGCAATTTGATTTTTCCCACCTTTAAAATGACAATGTTGAACCATTTCTTTGACTTCTTCGATCTCTGACTCTGTGCGTTAGAAAAGTGTGATTAGTACAGGGACTCTTTGCCTGCACATCCAGGACAAAGTCTTTAATCCTACTCTACTGCCTTCTCACATCCCCCTTGATGTTCTCCCTCACCTCCTCACCCAGTGTAAATTCCAGTCACTGATTATAATAATCACCACCTTGTGTCCTATCTATCTTCCCTTGCCCTTCTCTTAGTTTGATATACTTATTTGGCAGAACCACAGCCCTAGTTAAATCTAATTCTCTGCCTAACCCATACTGCATCTATGCAAATGAATATGGCCAGAGAAAAATGCACAATCACGTTAACTGGTCTCGTTTTAAATGTATGACCACAAACCTCAAGAAGGTCCTTAATAATATTATACATTCCAAGTCCCTTCATTTTTCAGTTTTGCTAGATGGCTGTTTCACTCCTCTCTCTTCAAACCTGAATAGCCTCCTTCCCCCTCCTCACTCTCAGCCAATGACCTTGTTTCCTACTTCACTGACAAAACTGAAACAACCAGAAGAGAATGTCCACAGATCTACCACCACACCTCCTTCCCCGCCTCCAGTATCTTCACTCACACAACTGTGTCTTCCTACCGTTGCTATAAATGACTATCCATGTGCCTATTTATCCCTCCACTGTGTGCTACATTCCACATCCGCTTGCCTACACAAGGACACCATTCCAACAATTCTCCCATCTTTTTGTTATGTCAGTTTTTTAGTTTCTACTTTTTGTTATGTCAATAACGAACAAGTGTGGTATAGTTTTTCTCATTTTAAAAATTTCAAAACTATTCTTGACCTCACTTTCCTCTCCGGCCACCCTTCTTTTTCTCCTCAAGGGGGATGCAGTAAAACCCCTTGAAAAACTCCTTGACTCCCTTTCTTCTCTTCATTCTTTTCTAAACCTCTCCAACTGTTACCCCCACCTCTCCTGCAAAACTGCGCTTGTCAGAGTCACCAGTGACCACCACCTCGCTAAATCCCATGGCCAAAAAATACAATAATAATAAAAGCAAATCAATCAATCAATCAATCAATCCATCCATCCCATGGCCAATTCCCAATCCTTACCTTGCTTGACCTGCAGCAGCATTTGACATGGTTAGTCACTCTCTCCTCCATGACATATATCCTTCACTTTGCTTCTAGGACAACACCGCCTTCTCTTGGTTCTCTTCCTACTTCATTAATGATCCTTCTTAGTCTCCTTTTCTAGTTCTAATTCCTGGAGTCTCAGTCTTTAGTCTTCTCACTTCTCGCTCACTGCTTTGGTGAGCTCATCTAGTCTCATGGCCTTGAAGAGCATCTAAGACTCATGTATCTTATTGCATGTCCACTCAGATGTCTGATAAAAATTATGAAATTTCACAAATCAGACTGAACTCCAGATTGAAACCCTTCATAACTTACTCCTCTCTCACTTAAAAAAAAAATTTTTTTTTTTAGCATCTCAGTTTATGGCAACTCCATCCTTCCTGTTGTTCCGGCCAAAGGCCTTGCTGTCATCCTTGATTCCTCTTTTCTTCTCACATCCATATTCAATCTGTCAGGAATCTGTTGGCTCCACCTTTAAGATATATCCAGAATCTGACCACTTCTCCCCTCCTTCACTGCTACCACCTGGATTACTGTAATATCCTTCCAAATGGCTCTCTGCTTTTACCTTTGTCTACCCTAGGTTTATTCTAAATCCAGCAGTCAGCATCATCTTTGAAAGTATAGTCAGGTCATGTCGCTTCTCTGCTTAGAACCCTCCAGTGATTCCCAACTCAGAATAGAAGCTGAAGTCCTTACAGTGGCTCTAAGGCCCTAACTGTTAACTCTCCAACCTCCTCATCTCCTCCTTTCTTCCCCCGTTGCTCACTTGACTCCAACCACACTGGCCTCTTACTGCTCTTTGAATGTATCAGGCTTTTGCTTTGGCAGTTTTCTCTGCCTAGAACATTCCTCCTCCAGATACTGCATGGTTCCCTCCCTCATTTCTTTCAGGGCATTGCTCTGAAGTTACCTCTCCAAGAGGCCTACCTAACCACTTTGTTGAATATTGCAACTCCCACCCACTCAGCATTTCCAATCCCTCTAATTCTTCTCTGCTTTGCCTTTTTTCCCCTAGCACTTAATGTCTTCTAATATATTATGTAATTTACTTTATTTATTATGTCTATTTTGTAGGCCTCTTCTCCCCTTCTACAGTATAAACTCCCTGAGAGCAGGAACTTTTGTTCACCATTACAACCTAAGCCCCTTGAACAGAGGCTGACACAGAGTATATGCCCAGTAATATTTGTTGAATGGATAAATCCCTAGTGCCTAGCACAGGGTATGGCATACAAAATACTAATATTTAGTGAGTAATGGAAATTCCAGAGAACTCTTTTTAGTGAGGGGAAGCATCCTGGAGGAGAAGAGCTTGGAAGTGGACCTTAAAGGTCGAATCAGACTTAGAAAAAGAGTGAGAAGAGAGAGAAAACATGTCAGGCCTGAGACTGATTTGAGCAAAACCCTGGAGACTAGAGTTTCTGGACAGGATGATGGGAACCATTGAAATCTCCTGACCGGGGGAATCAGCCTTCACTGCTTTCAGGTCAGCAGTATCTTTGAGAGGAGAATTTGGAGCACCCACCCTTCCCCCCTCATCCCTTCCAGTTCTGCTCACGTGAGGGGTCGCTCTACGCGGCTGCCCTGGCCTCCGATCACCTCTCCCAGGGCCAGGAAAGCTTGTCCCAGGAAATCCTGCACCGGGACAGGGAATCAGCGAGGCCAGGAGGGGTTGGGGGTGCAGAGTCTCAGCCCAGCCCAGCAGCAACGACCAGGGTGTTCCGAGGCAGCGGGACGTCGCAAGAACTATCGCCTGGCCTGTGCTTTAAAGTGAGTGGGGGTGCCCCTAGGCAAGCTCTTCTTCTTGGGCCTGCTATTACTTTAAACTGCTCTCCAGGATGCCATCCCACTCCTCACTTCCACCCTCCTCACCCTGCCCAGCCCGGTTCAGCCTCACCTTCTGCGGGTCCCAGCAGCGGCCGAGAAGGAAAAGGAGCAATGAGTAAGAGGCATAGGTGGGAAACTGAGGCAGGAGCAGGAGAGGAGGACCGGGAGTGTGGGTTCGGGCCGAAGAAGGTGGAGAAGAAGGTGGAGTCAGGGTTGAGGGTGTGGGAGGGATCCAAGGAGGGTCGTTTAGCACGGGGAGCGCCGCCTGTGTGCCCAAGCCCGCAAGGGGACGCTCGCTCACCGGTTTGGAGATGTTGGTTTTGGAGTCGACGTTGTACCTGGAAAGAGAGTTGAACCAGCGTGGGGCGGAGCTGGTGGGAGAGAGCCTGGAAAAGGGGTCGTGTTTCGAGTCCTGGTGAAAATTGTGAGTAGAGCGAAAGGCTTGAATCCGAATTTAACCTGGATCTCCTTTGGGGCAAGAGTCAGGGTCAGAGAGGGTCAGGCCCCGAGCGAGGTCTGCTGGGGGGGCGGGGTCACATGGGGGAGGGACCTAGACGGAGGCGGAGTTAAATTAGGGAGCAGAGTTGTGGGCAGGACCAAGCCTGGGTAGTGAACTGAATTGGATGTAACCTAAGGACTGAGCCAAGCTAGACTTGGGGGTGGAGCTAAGACTAGAATGGAGCCCTTCAGAATTGGACCGAACTGGGCCTGGGAGAGGAGCCAGCCCGGGAGGCCAAGTTGGGGCAGAGCCAGCCAGAATTTAGGGTGGATCCAGGTGGGGGGGGGCGAGGTGGTCCAAGCCAGAATTCTGGGCGGGACTCACACATCGAAGCGCAGATTTTGCTTCTCTTCAAAAAAATAGTCAAGGACAAATTTGCGCACGAAGTCTGGGTTCAGCGTGTTGTCGATCACCTCGGTCCGTCCGAACTGGATCGGGGCGGGCAGGGAAGGTGCCAGGAGTCAGCACGGGGCCTGTAAAGGGGCAGGTGATTCCCGGGGGCAGCTCTGGGCTGGGAGAGAATTCCCCGACTCACCTCCCGCCACTCTTGGCTGGCCCGGCTCTGCGTGTAAAGCACCACCACTGCAGGCGGGAGCGGGGGCAGGGGAGGGAAAGACGTCAGGTCGGTCCGCACCCCCTCCCTGCTCCTCAGTCGCACCCGCACACCAAGTTCCCCCGCACCCCGCCCTGGTGCTGCCTACTGGGGTCGGACTTGGAGAAGGTGTCGAGGTCCAGCAGGTTCCTAGAAAAAGCAACAGACAGATGGACAGAGGGTGGGTCATCCTGAAGCCCATTGCCTCGACTCTGCCAAGCTAGGTACCCGGGGGGAGGCATGGAGCTCAAATCGCACCTCCCTCCCCCATTACTACATCCAGCCGTGGGTCCGCGTTGTTAGCACCCTGGACAGCACCGGAAATCTCTGTCCCAGGACCGTGTTCCTGCGGACTTGACGCGTATGAGTTCACACTGTCTCCATGGGCCCAGGAAAGAGAGTGAGACCCAGAACTTTGTCCTTCAGAGGCCCAGATCCTACTGCATTCCGGCGACCCATCCCTTGAACCCGCAGGCTGAGTGAGCCGTCTTTTGCGGGTGGGGCTGTTCAAGGAAACCCCCTCCCCGAACCTGCCAGAGACTCCCCGGAGTCTGATTTTTCAGCCCCTTATGCTTCTCGCCTCTGCCCCTCCTCCGCTCCACCCCCAGTCTAGCTCCTGTCTGCACCGAGCCCCCGGATCTGGTTGGGGCTGGGGCAGCATTCAAGCCCTTTTCAGGTAGCCCGCTCACCGGCAGGACACGGTAATTTCAATCTTGGTGGCTGGGACGCTGCGCTCAGAGGCTCCACCGAGAGACATGGCTGGTCGGGTGGCCGGAGCCGCGGAAAGCTAGGGGCGGTGGCAGCGGCGGGGCCGGCCCATGTGCCGTGGTGGCGGCGGCAGTGGCTGCACTCCCTCCAGTCCTGCGTGCTCTCCCACCGCTCACTCCTCGTCTGTGGCCACCAGCGGCAGCGACTCCAGATGGCAACACAGCCCCGCCCAACCCTGCGGGTGGCCCCCGCCCCGTTGGAACAGCCTCGGGCCAGCCGGGAATCTCATCCAGACCCCAACTTCAACCCACACCTTGGGAGTCCTTCCGGCGCATTTCTGCCAGTCAAAACCGAAGCCCCCCCGCCCCCCCAGATCTGTCCGCGGTGCTGAAGGTTTTGGGGCGCCTGGTGGGCTATAGGGACATTTTCTCTTCCTGATCCCGACCTGCCTAGGTCTCCGAATAGGAAGTTACACATTTGTTCTCATTCGTTGAGTGACCTTGAGCAAGTTACTCAACATCTCTGTGGCTCAGGCTCCTTTCTCATTAGTAGAAAGGCCGAAACAGCACCTACTTGGGATGTCATAGTATCTTATAAAGTCGACTTGAGAAAAGGTCTGAGCACAGGGGATTGTACTCAGTAAGTTCCAAGAAATGTTCGCTGGTATTATGTTCTTCCTCTGGGCATTTGTACCAATGGACCTCTTACGTGTTAAGTCAAAGCTCAGTAAATGGTGACTAACAGCATAGTGTAAAGCCCTTTGCCCAGTTCTTTGAACCCCCATGACTTCATGGTGTTAGAGATGCAGACACTGAGGATGTAACCCACTCTAGGTCACACTGTAGGTGAGGGTGATGGTCATGCAGATCCATCCTCCCCACACCAACTACTGCCACCAAAGCCCCAGAAACCAGTCCCTCCACCATAGGCAGGGGCTGCAGGTCACCTGTACCAAGACTGTGTTGCTTGAAGAAATTGTTAAAAATGAATACCCCACCGCATTCCCAGATAAATAAAGGTATCAGCAACCCTAAGTCCAAATTTCAGGTAGCCCTAGGAATCAGCATAGATAAACAGACACCCTAGATGATTAGGGCCCACTCAGACCCGAGGACCGTTACTATACCTTAACAGCCTGTGCCCATATATCCCCACCTCACTGAGGAGACTATCATGGCTCAGGAGGTACACTAAGTCCCCAGTTTTCTTTCTGCTTCATCTGCCACCCCTAACCCCTTCTTACAGCACAAGGACAGTAAGAACTTTCCAAATAACTCCACAAAGACAGCAAACAAATGAGGATGCCAGAGAGCTGCTGTTCGAAAAGACTTTGATTTTATTTTATCAGTGTCAAACTGCCTATTCTCAGTGCAGGTGACGCCTCCTCCTCAGGAAACAAGAATGACAAAGGGGTCATCTTTCATGAAGTCTTGGCCTCCACAAGGCCCCAGGGAAGCCCCATACAGTTCTGGGAGTTGAAGGAAATCCTGGCAAAGACTAGGGTGGGTGAGAGGCAGTGTCAAGAGGGGTGGCGATCACCAGTCAAGAAGCTCGGGTTGTAGAACCCTATTCTTGGCCCTGCTTGGCTTTGAGGCTGCCACGTGCATGATGGAGAAGGGAGAGTGAGATTTCCCCTGACTCTGAAGCACTCCTTGGCCGGGCATGGCTTTGATTCTGCTCAAGGCTCAGGTAAGAGAGGAGCAGGAAACTGTCATGGGCTGGCTGCTTCATAAGGTGCTGCTGCTGGTACCCCGGAATCCGACACCACGAACAAACTGCTCCAACAGGCCGCCAATGGCACCAGAGGGACTGGGGGCTGCTGCCCGAAGCCCCACTGTGCTGCTGTATGCGGCCAAGAAGGCTGAGCGCACCTCCTGCAGCCGAGTCTCCCGCTCATTCAGGGCTGCAAGCCTATGGAGAGGGAAGAAGGGAAAGAATGAATGCATTACCTTGGGGCAGGATCCAACATCCTCATCCTCATGCTACAATGCTTATCCTCTGTCTTCCCCAGCACAAGGCCAGCATCTGTCCTGTGGTCATGCCCCAAATATTTGACCTTGTTCCCCTCTTAAACCATTCTTCTCAGTTCTCAGGCTACTGTTCCTACCTAGAAGCAGTACCTTTTATTGGGGCACTGGCCTGCCTTTCCATGGGAAACAACCATCTCTGTGACTGGAGAGAGTGCAAGCCAAGCAGGAAGGAGGTTGCTCCAACAGCTGTTGGCTTCCATTCCTTAATAAGAACAAACTGAGGCAGAAGTCTTAGACCTAACTGTAAGGAGAGACTCCCAACACCAAGTTGGGTTGACCTTTCTTGGGGCCAGCACCTGGAGCATCCTGGGAGAACACTCTTGGCAGTGCCCTGGAGAGGCCAGGGTCCTCACTGGAAACCCCGAGGCTCTAGCTACACCTTTAGTCACTGTGGTCCCCAAGTAAACAGCTAGAGGGGTGCTGCCTTTTCCTTCCTTGACCTCTACAAGCATTGATCACAGATAAAAGAAACCCCTCTTCTTTTCTTGGCCTGGAACTACAAGAAGGGGAACAAGTGCACAAAAACTCAGGCTTATCCATGCATGAATTCCATATGAGGCTGTTTAACACCTTGAAGGGTTCTTTAATAGAGAGACCTATGGTAGCAGCCACATCCAACCTCTGGTCTAAAAGCTTATACAGTCTAGGAGTGGGAGGGATGTGGAATCAGAAGAAAGGTCAGGAACTCACATGGTATTCCCTCTAACTGTACCCTGGAGAAAGGTGACACACCTATGTAAGATGAGCCCTCATGTTCCTATCCATCTAAGCACCAAGACTAGCCCTAACCACTAACTTACTCCAAAATTTTCCCAATCCCTGGGTAATCCTTCCCAGGAATCTGTCAAAAGCAGCAGAAATGTCTGCAATTCCCAAGCCCAAGTGACTTGCGCCCCAGGGCCTGGAGAACAGATGGAGGTATGAAGATAAATGAGAGTCCTGGTTAAGTATGAGAACAGACCTAGGGAAAGGAGATTATGTGTGTGTGTGCGTGCATGCATGTGAGAGATGAGTGGGAGAGGGAGCATGGGGGGCTGAGGGGAGAAAGAGAGAGAGAACAGAGACAGAGGGAGACAGAAAAATGCAGCAGCAGGTTCTAGGGCGGAAAAAAGTCAAATAGCTCACGCAGCAGCACTAAGAAAATGGAGCTGATACTGGATTCCTGCAATACCATGAACAACTCCAAAGTCTTTTTTGGCATTGAGGGAAATACATGGCCCTAGATCTTCTTAGGTTTCACATAGGCTGGAGACCACTGTGTTCTTCAGCTTTTCTTTAGCGCATACAACCAGGAGAAATTCAGATTAGTAGTTTCTATTAATGGGGAACATCCAAAGGTCCATACGGGTGCATTCTCACTCCCCCCTAACTGGGAGGCAGAAGGAGAAAGATCACAACCTATTTAAAGAAAAGAAGACTGGAGCCCAGAGAGAATATGCAATATACTTGAGGACACACAGCAGGCAATAGGTAGGCAGGGACTGGAGCTCCCGTAGCGCCATTCCCTCTCAAGAGATGAGCTAATAGGCTTAGAGAAGGCTGACACCCCAAGACATAGCTGGTGAGCAGAACAGCTAGTATGCAGACTAAATTTCTCCGACAACAAAGCCCAAGCACTGAACTCATATATTGTGTGATCTCACTGGAATCAACCCTGGCCCCACCCCCACCTTGCAGTCTTGGGGTCCATGAGATCATGTAGAACCTAGCCCTCCTCTGGGCACCACCAGAACCAACCAGAATTCTGAACTAGGATCTCAGAGAACTACTCGAGGTATAAATTGTAGGACCTAGGACTATAGTTGCCCATTTCAGTGGCTAATGCCAGGTAAGTGAGGGGTGTTATCAAGCAGGGGCAGAGATGTCTGTTTCTTCCAGAGACAGCACTTAGGCCAGTATGGCTGAAGTAGTTAAGTCCCTACAGAAAGGTGCAGACAACAAAAACCTAAAGGATCTTGTTTTTCATTTAAGGGCCTGGCTACAGAGGTTGTGCCAGGCACTAGTAGCCTCCAAAGTCCTTGGGCTACACCCCAGCTGCAGAGCCCGGGCCTATGAGTACCATCCTGGAATCCTAAGGTCTAGCCCCTTTTAAATGGCCTCCAAGGGACCCTTCCCAACTCTTCAGGGCAACCTGCCTCCCACCTGTCAGCGTTGGTGGGTACAAGCTGGATCCTGGTGGTGGGGATGAATGCCCAGCACCTGAAGTTCATTCAGCCCATGGTGGGGAGGTGAAGGCCCTTAGCCATAGCTGAGGACCAGGCCACTGAGGCTCTCCCCCCACCTGACATCCAAGAAGCAGCAGAGCATGCAAGGAGGAAAGTGATTGCCAGAGGTAGCCACTCAAGCGGATGCATTATGAGAGTTGGAAGCCCAGTACTAGAGACTTGGAGGGGGAGGATTTTATAGACCTGGGATTTAGTATTGCTCCAATTTTCTTTCCTGACCAGGGGCAAAAGCAGAAGACAAAAGTGGGGAGGCGGGGGAGGTTGGCAAGGAAGCCTTGGTTCTGCTGGGGAGGATCACAGCCCTCGGGCTAAGCCAGCTCCATCCCAGCTCTGGTCTCCACCATATACCAATCTTCACTACCTCCTTGTTCTGATTTCAAAGGATTCTCCTGTCAGGCAAAGCCTTGGACAGAAATAGAATCTTCTATAGTTAGTTACAGTCCAGCCAGCTTTCCCTCAGGGTGTGCCCCGACACCCGTAGATGGGTTTTGGAGGCTGGGGAGAGTGATCGCATACTCCAATGCACTTCCTGAGCAGCCCATAAGGCCTCCTCCTTCATACCTCAGGGGTCAATGAGCAGGGAGGTATACTTAGCTAAGGCACTGAAGTGGGGCACAAATCCCAGGCCAGCTCCCTGGGTCTGGCTGCTGCCTCATTCTTAACTAGCACTCTTGATTGCTCACCAGCTTTTAATATGGGCAGGGGAGCATCCTGCCTTCTCAAGCAAGACACTTACAGACAACTGTTAGGGAGCTCATCCGGGAAGCTGAAAGGGAGAGAGGAGTCTGTGTGCAGGACAGCCCGTTCCTGAATACTGCCACAGCCTGTTACCATCTGCCAGCTGCCAAAGTCTGTGGAGAGAGAGGATCCGGGCAGGGGATGGTCCACTGATCTGGGGCAGAGAGGAGAGAGAGGGGAGATGATGCACAGTCAGTCATATGCCTGACAGGGGAGGCTC